TTTTTAATGATTTATTTCCTATTTGGTATCTGAACTAACAGCTGGGCGTAGGCTTGAGTAGGGAACTGTGTTGAGTAGGGAGGCTAAACTGGAAGTCTAAACCATGCAGGTTGTAGTGGTCAGTAAGTAAAAGTAACATCAGTGCCAAGGTCTCTCTTCATCAGAGGATCGAGGACTCAGGTCCCAGCAGTTCAGGCAGCCTTAGAAAGACAACTGGGGCTATGAGGGCCTGGGCTAGAACATCAGGGCCAGGATAGATGTGCCACCTTGTTGCCATTCTATTGCCTTCCCTTTCTTTTGAAACTCAGTTTCTCTTCTCACTGAGCTCCCCCCATACTGTCCTCCCGTCTGCCTCTTTTCCAAGCCCGTCAGCAAATTGGCACACATGTTGGTAAGACAACTGGCAGCAACAGGGATGCCCTTGGTACCCAGCTGCAGTGTACAACCAGCAGTTATGCTTAATGAAGTTCTCAGATGGAGCACAGAATCAGGCAGACAGTGTCTGTTGTCTATTTCTGACCTCGGATATTCTGAAAAACTTGCCCTCCTTCCCTATCCTGGGTCTATTCCATATTTCTGGGTTTTCTTCTCTCACGTGAACAGACAAGGTTTCTCTCTGGTTAGTAGTGGTTGTGTGTTTGACTTGACACAGATTTTTTTCTCTGCATCTACTTCTCTCATCTTCTTTGCCCATAATGTGACTTAACCTTGGGGGGATGCTCCAGGGCTTAACTACCAGCATTTGCTAACCAGTATAAGGGAGTAGTTCACCAAACTCCCTTATCTCTTCCTTGTTTCCTAGGGTTTTTTTGTTTTGTCCTTTGTTTTTTTGATCTCCCAGTGTTCAGTAGTTGGAATCAGAGGATAAATGCCCTTTAGGTACAAAAAGTTTGTGGCATATAGAGTATTTCTGATATTTTCATTCGATTTATTTATTTTACTTAAAGGCAACAGAGACAAAAGGAAGTGAAAATAGCTAATCTCTTAGGAGTTCCTTGCCGGGAACCAGCAGTTAGCGTAATGGCTATGTCACTGGACTCCCACATAGTTGACTGCAGTTCGGGTCTGGTGGCTTAAAACTCACGCCAGGCGCGTGTGCATGTGTGCCCAAGATCCAAAGAGGAGAATGGAGGAGAAGGGATTGTGGCGTGACCATCCCCCCTGGGGGGGCGATTTCTCACTTTCTGTCTCTATGTCTCTGTCTGTCTGGCAAGCGCACGCGCCCTATAGCAAAAACCTCTCAAGGAAAAAAAAAAAAAGGAGTTCCTTGTCACAGGGTAGGGATCAAATGGTCTTAAGAGGAGGGCATCTCTTGGTATGCCAAAGAAGAGAGTTTCGAAATATAGTAGCCTCAAAGCCATCACTGGTTCTTCACCTCTATTCCCAGCAGCCTCTTAAAGTTATTTATTTTTTTTCTTTTTTCTTTTTTATTATTTATTTAACTTTATTTATTCATTCATTAATTTTTAATTTGACCTGAGAGACACACACAAACAGATAGAGAGAAGATGAGAAAGCAAGCCACCAGGTCCAGGATTTGAACCGTGGTCAGCCATGTGGGAGCATCCAGTGCCTTAACCACCACGCAACCCGCTGGTCCCCTCTTATATTGATCCATGAGTTGCTTAAGCATGGAATCTAAATTGGGCTGCCTGGATTCGAATCCTGGCTTTTCTTCTAATATCTTACGTAATCTGGGATAAGTGACTTAATCTCACTGTGCCTGTCTCCTCATCTGTAAAGTAGTATCTAATTCAAAGGGTTGATAAGGGAACCAGCAGTTAACATAATGGCTATGTCGCTGGACTCCCATGTAGTCGACCACGGTTCGGGTCCCTGACCCGGTGGCTTAAAACTCATGCCGGGTGCGTGTGCGTGCATGCCCAAGATCCTGAGAGGAGAATGGAGGAGAAGGGATTGCAGCATGGCCATTTCCCCTGGGGGGTGATTTCTCGCTTTCTGTCTCTCTGTCTCTGTCTGGAGAGCGCACGCGCCCTATAGCAAAAACCTCTCCCCCTCCAAAAAAAAAGGGTTGATAAGTTCATCAAATGCAATAAAATATATAAAGTTCGTACACAATGCTAATGAATGTTAGCTATTGTTTCTTTTCTTTTCTCTTTGCCAGAGGGCGCATGTGTTCATCAGTTAGCACAACAGAGACAGAGATAAGGAGTGGGAGAAAGTCCCACCCAGTGGGGTATGGCCATGCTGCAATTCTTTCTTATCCATTTCTCTATCCTGTTTGGATTTTGTGCATACATGCATATATACACAGTGCATTTTTCAAGCTACCAGGACTGGGATTCAAATCTGGAAGCTAACCGTTTGAGATCAGGCTCCCATAACCATTAGGCCACCGGACCAGCCGTATTGTACTGCCTTTTTTTTTTTTTTTTTTTAAGTAAATACACACCCTGGTCTGTTTCCTCTTTTTTCTAGAATTATTTATTTATTTATCTGTATTTGTTATTTTTCTATTTGACTAGAGAGAATGAGGGAGAAAGTGAGATCTGTCAGCCACCAGGTCAGGGATTCTAGCCACAGTCAGCCATGTAAGAGTCCAGCACCTCAACTACCATGCCACCTGCCAGCCCTTCAATAAACATTGTTATTGTTTATATCATCCTTGCTACTGACCTTCAGAAGTTGTGGGAAGCTACTTACCTAATTTTTATCCTTTTGGATGAGATGCTAATGGGATAGAACTTAGCAGGCTAAAGAGGTTGCTTAGTATAAAGACCCCTAGGTATTCCTTAGGAGTCTGCTTTCATTTCACTAGAGAGATAAGGCAAGGAAAGTTCTGAGGGGAAGGGTGACAGGGCATGCCCTCCCTCACCTCCCCCAGGGTGGTGTATGCTGAAGGACCCCTCCCTTTTCATTATTTGGCAAAAGCAAAGGACATCTCAGAAAAAAAGTAGAAAATTATTTAATTTATAAAGAGCACTGGGCCAGCAGGTACTTTGATGGTCAAGGTGCTTGACTCCCACATGGCTGACTACGGTTCAAGTCCTAGACTTCACAGCTTGCTTTCTCACTTTTCTTCTGTCTCTCTCTGGTAAATGCATGTACCCTATAGAAAAAAAAAATTTAAATAATAATAATAAGTAGGGACCAGCAAGCAGGTGGCATAATGGTTATGTCAGTGGACTTCCATGTAGTCAGCGTGTTTCAAGTCCTGGACCCAGTGACTTAAAACTCACATTGGGCACGTGTGGTTACATGCCCAAGATCCTGAGAGGAGAATGGAGGAGTAGGGATTGCGGCATGACCATCTACCCTTGGGGGTGATTTCTCGCTTTCTGTCTCTCTGATCATTCTGTCTCTCTGGAAAGTGCATGCGCCCTATGACAAAAATTTCTCTTGAAAAAAATAGGGACCTGCTGGGACCAGCAGTTAGCATAATTACTATGTCATTGAACTCCCATGTAGCTGACCACGGTTGAAGTTCCGGACCCAGTGGCTTGAACTCACGCCGGGGCATGTGTACGTGCCTGCCCAAGATCCCAAGAGGAGAATGGAGGAAAAGGGATTGCGGTGTGGCCATCCCTACTGGGGGGTGATTGTGATTTCTTGCTTTCTATCTCTCTGTCTCTCTGTCTTTCTGGTGCCCTATAGCAGAAACCTCTCC